GATAATTTTTAAAGAATCGAAATATATTTGTTTTAATTAATGCGCTCCTCTTCAAATTATCTTGATCCTTGGTTTATTATTTGCCTTTGAAAACAAAATTGAATTCCATTACTCATTTAGCAGTACTTTCTGGTTTGACTGGTTCCGGTAGTTAGAAGGATGAAAATTTTTACTAGAGATTCATAGAAGCATTGTTGGATCTTTACGTTCGCTAGCAAATTTACTTGCCGATTAAGAGGCATTATTCGAACCTATAATGCCTGACAATTGAAGCAATATTTCAATCGATTCTCGGCCTATTAAAGAATTTAAAATCATTCCCTCAGTTCTGGTTAACCAGTTAAATGTCTCAATTATTAAATGAACTTTTTAAACGAATTGTATAGATTTACAATAATAAATTTCTTTTTTCCTTTTTTTCGCTAATAAAAATATAATTGAATTTTTAATTCAGCGAAAATTTGCTCGCTAAAAAAATTTTAAATTTTGCTAATAATCATATTTCTGTTCGCAGCTGGTGCGAAATTTTTCGTTTTTTTTTAAGCAATTTAATCTTATAATCAAGTGTTGATTACATTTAAAACAGCCTTATAAATGTTATTAGAAACACATGCATTCAAATGCATGAAATGCATTTCTTTTTTATTTTTGAATTCAAAATCGATTTAGTGAATAGACCCCTTTGGTTGCGCTCATAATTAATTCTTGCCCTATTTAAAGTAAGTAGGTAGTTTCCATCATTTCTGGTTAAGTTGGTTTTTTTTTAGTTTTTTTGCCATGGACTAACTTGGCAATAAAAATATAGGTGGGTCGCATCCGTATTTTTTCAAATGATTTACTCGAGCACCAAACCTTTCGCACGATAATCTGAGTCAAATTCTTTTTATTTTGGTAATTTTCGTACTTGAAATTTTGATATTGGCCATGCTTGATTTGAAATCCAAAAATGAAAATTATAATTTAATTCACTTTCAGGAAAGCGAAAACAGGTTAAGGATTGATTGATTTTATAATTTTTAAATTTTTTGTCAAGTTTCATTGTTGCTGATTGAATAAAATATATCATAATTTTAAATTCTTATTTCATCAACTCTTGAATTATTCTTTATTTCTCTCATAGGAAAATTTTACCAATGATTTAAGACAATATTCGAAAAAATTTAAATGCGAATGGGGGCAATAGATATCTATCATCTATTGGATGACAGAAGTCCAAGAGAATTGAAATCACAGAAAATAATGAATATTGTCTTAAATTACTCGCTATAAAATGTAATCTTGTTTTACTCAAGTATGAGCCTTTAATATCAATTAATATCACAAAAATTATTCTAATAATGGGAGTAAATCTGAATATGTCACTAAAAATGAAATGTTGCATTTGTGTCCCTGTTCAGCTTCGAATACTTTTGCGAAAGGGTTCCAACAAGTTAAACCAAACAAATCAGAAAATGTATTGGATGAAGGAAGAAAAAGATGAAATTCATTGAGCCTTAAAGAAAGTAGCAAGCGATAAGCTTCTTTCAATCCATTTAAGAGAAGTAACAAGATAGAAATAACTGAGAATCTATGTTCTATTCAAAAATTCGAAATTTTGAATTTAGTCGACTAATAGATAATTTCACTTTATGGTGCGATATTCAGTATTTCTTTAGCATTGCTGAAATCCATCCATGCTTTCTTTTCAAAATTTCCCTTTTGGCCATAAAGGCGCTTCCCGACTTCTGTGGCTTGTCTGAAATGATTTGCCTATTTTTTCTTGAATTTTTATATCTAATAAGGTATTTATTATACACCAGTAATTTGTAGCAATGCTTTCATATAGTCTCCGATCATGCACAACATTTGCCTTCATGTTAAATCGAGATTACTCAGTATATTTGCAATAATGCGAATGCTTACGCTGGTGATTGAGCGATTGTTGGTTTATTATTATTTATTTCGATCATGATGGATGAATGGATAAATTTGTTGAATTTAATAATCTCAATTCTATGAAAATAGAAGATGAAGAAGTTGTGATTCTCGAGCTGCTATGTTAAGAGAAAATCAATGATTTATCGCCTTCAAAAACACATTTACATATGATGAAAATCAGTTTGAAAAAATTAAGCTTAATCTTCAAATGAAAAATTGAGCATTGAAAGTTTGTTTAAAATGTGAAAAATTAATTTTTTGATGAAAAAAAATTTGTGAATTCGATAAATAGAATTGTCAATGAAAATGAATGGAACATACTTGCGAACTGCCTGCATTTCTATCGCCAAAAGACTCCCCAATAAAAATTTCTTACTCTAATAGCCAATGGAATTTTCTAACCAGAAATAGAGACTGCTAACCAATTATTTCTGCATTAACTTGCAGCTTTGATATCTGCAACAGAACTCATTAATATTTCCTCATCATTTTCATGTAAATGCAATAGCACTCACAGAATGACAGATAACTCCCACAAATAGTGCAGTTGCCTCCTCATTATTTTAATTTTTTGCTTAGGTTAATTTGGATTTGCGACGCTTGGCTTTCACTGAAACAACAAACCGCTAAAAAACCCAGTTTTCTCATTTTCATCACTTAATCTTATACTTTATTTAATAGTAATTTATCTGATTTTATAATATTAACTTACATTTATTTGAAGATACGAAATTTGATGCAATCAGATATGATTTTAGTCGGCTTTGATAGATTTATATTGCCAGAACAAATTTACTGATATAAATTCACTGCTAGATGTTACCATCTCATGGCATTTAGCATTTGATTGAATCAATTTATTTTAATTTGGAAATGCAAAATTTTGCTTCTGGCTTCGTTTGTTTGTGATTTCAGCTGTATAAATATGCCGTAGGCTAGATAGATGGATGGATAGTCCAAATCAAAAGCCAAAAGCCTTTTTTTCTTGATTAAAATATGTCCGTGAAAATATCGTTAAAATTAAGTTCGCTGCTTGATTGCAGGATTAACTATTTCCTAAATATTTCTCCACTATAAATTATCTATAAAATAAGAAAATAATTCGTAAATTCTAAAATTTTGCTAGGGATTTATTGATTTACTTCCAGTAATTTTTTATTTTTTATTTAACACGTATAATTTAGATTTTTCAAATGTAAAAATAGCTTAGGATGGGAGAATAGGTGGATTTCGAGCCCCGAGTTTGACTTTTAATGATAGACTCACTCGCTTTAAGAGACAGGAATAGATAACTTGGTTCTAGTCGAAACAAGATATTGCTTGACCACATTGTCACAATTTCAACAAAATTTACTATTAAATGCTCTTACGTTAATTGAGAAAATCTTTGAAAATCTATAAAAAATAAAAGTGAGAATGAAAAAAGTTTTCCGAAAAATAAGAGAAAAAAGGATTCTCTTTTAAAAAAATAGAGAGAAAAATCCTTGTAAAAAGATTGTATAAAAATATTCTAATGAATTTCTAACTCGATTATAGAAAAGATTTATTAAAAATTATTTATTAAAAAGATTTATTATTTGTTCGATTATAACAGAAAAAAAATTTTAAAGATTTATTTCAATTATCGCTTACACTTTTTTATATATATGTATTGTAATAATGTAATGAAAATGCGAAAAGTATCAATTCGAATTAATTAAATTAGGTGAAAATGATGAAATAAAATAATGGCCATAATGACTATTTAAATTTTCTAAACTTATTTTGATAAATATATAAAAATCTTACTTTGAATATTTTCAATTTTACTTTTGTTTTACAGTACTGAATGTTTGAAAAACTCTTAATTAAATGAGCTTTAATGAAATGAAATATGGCGTATTAGCGACAGATTGATTAATACGCTACTTGAATCGAATTCTTTGAAGAGAATAAAATAAAGAGTCAAAGAAGGGTGGTGCAAAAAATTCCTGTCACATCACTTTGTTCCAAGTGATTCCATAGCGAAGGTCTCATATTTTAACGAAATCGCCCTATTTAGAAATGGTGAATGGTGCTCGATGAAAATTAAATAGAGTAAGATTAATGTGATTAATACTTAAATATTTCTTACTAAAATAGCGTTTAATTTAGACATAAAAGAGGTATAAAAATTTGGAAAATAGCGAAGCAATCGAAGGAATTCTGATCTTTAGAAAAATTCCATTGCAATAATATAGATGAGATCATATACATGAGTAATCCACGAGCAATCTCAAAATCTCATGCTTATGATCGAGAGAATGTATTAAAATATTCTGAGATTTCTGCAAATATTCTGAGATTTGAACATTTCATTTGCGACTTCAATTAACTGAACTGGGGACCAAAGATTTTACAAATCCAGAAGGGGAGAGAAACGAGGCTAATGAAATGCAACAAATATATGTGAAATAAATTTAATAAATTTTAGAAAAATGGCAATTGCAATAGCAAATAACAAAAGTTATTTAATAAAAATTCATTAAATTTTTTTTTTACTTATTTAATTTATTTCAGAAGAATTTAAAGTTCTCCATTCTCTATTTTCCTTTGATTATTGCGAGTTATAATAAAATTATCATTTTTAAACAATAAATTCCATCTTTAAAATGGAATTTCTTAAATTATTCGTTAAATAATTCACTAAAGTGGTCGATTTTTTAAAAATGTTTTCTTCTATAAAAAGAAATTTAGAAGAAATTTGAAGAAATTTAAGCGATGACGCCCTATCGTAAGAAAATTGTCATCTGAGGGCTGATGAAGAGGGTATTTAAGATAAGCAGTGATTTTATTTATTACAATAACAAGCGGGACGCTATGTGCTGAAAGAAATATTAAAAAAGGCAGGAAGTTTTAAAAAATGAAAGAGAGAAACAAAATTTTAAGCGAAATAAAATTATTATTTGAAGGAGATAATTGCAGTAAATACAAAAACATAAAAGAACTAATAAAATTATAAGACTAGAAAAAAAAAACTAAAACAAACTGCTGTCCCAACGAAAATATATTGAGAATGTGCGAAACGATATTATGGATTTTGTTTAATTCATTGCTGTAGTGAAATGGAAAAGGTGCAAAAATTAAAAAACTATATTAATGGGAAAATTATTCCATAGAGAAATTATCATTTTTTAATATAAAAAAATTAATTTCCTGCATAATTAGGTAAAAGATAGTTCCAAATAAGTTGCTGAACTATTGAATTTTCCGCGAACTATTATCACATGCAGGCTGAATAAAATCTGAATTTCTTTGAGCTTCTATTACTCGTGTGATCCTGTCACCAACAAATGGCGTACAGGTTAAAAACGGATATATAGAAATGGATCTAAATACTTTTTTTTTTTTGCTTCGATTATTAGGCGATCAAATTTTTTTAAAGATGTCCAGCTTCTAAATCTTCAACCTTACTCAACCTTAATCAAAGTTTAATTTTTACAAATAGCCCTTTCAGTTATTTAATGAAATTTTTGTGATAAGCAGAGGCATAAAACGTGCAAAGAAAGGAAATAAGAAAAAGTATCCAGAATAACGAAAAGCCTGAGAGACTAGATTTATACGTAATACTAATAAAGTGATTTAGATTGGCGCACTTTTTCCAATACATCATCAGATAACAGGAGCGGAAGGATGTGGCCAAATATGGGAGCAGTATGGCATACAGCGGGCCGAAATCGCACTTAACACTGTTATCGAAATGAATAACCATTTGCCATTTCGATTAGGCATTAGTATACGGTAATACTTTACCTTAATTTTGATACTGTTCTGTAATTTATTTTTAAACTGCATTTTAACAGCCTTTTTCATAAACTATTTGCAAATCGATCAAAAGCATAGTTGATTGGAAATTTCCTCCTCAAATGTTTTTAAAATTAACTTTGGCATTCGTGCTTGTTACACCAAAGAAATTAATTTTCTTCGTTTTCCAATGCTTTTTATTTTCTTACAAAAATTTCATCTGTCCTTAAATTAAATAAGAAAGTGCTTACGCCTATAAACTCTGGTTAAGCTGCCCCCGTGGCTGATGGTGAGGGATTTCTGGTGAACAGGCAAAAATTTACTTATAGATGGGAAATTTAGATGGACTCCCAACACTACTCGACTTTGTGGGAGTTTAATGCTTGAGACAATGATTTAAACAACAGCTACTCAACTAATCTCACTAATATCATTTAATTGGCCAATTATTTTTATAATCTTCTTAAAATTGCCATGAATTCCAGGGAAAAAAGCTTTAATCAATATTAGGTTTCACAATTTTTCCATGATTCGCTAATAAATCAGAAATGAAGAAGAAAAAAGCGATCAATTTTTGCTTTGAAAGTTCGTCAGTCAAGTAGCAGTTCATTAAGTTTTATTCATTGTCGATCTCTACTGAAGAGAGATACGTGTTAAACATAAAAATTCAATGGGTGTTCTCAGCAAAATTTATTAACATACATCTGGAAAAATGAGAAAACAGCTGAAACAGCTGAAGTAGATTTTTTTATTATGACATTATTACGATATTAAATAACTTTATAATAATTTAAATACATTGTAAATTAAATTAATAATGAACAGTAATTACTGAAAGCGCAAATGACCTTTCCACTTTTTCCAATTTTTTATTTCACTTTTTACTTTTTCTCTGCTTTATTTTTAAATATATGGCCATTCTGTTCACTAATTTATCTGATTAGCGGTTTAACATGCCCAATTTTATGTCAAAAATCGTTTGGAAGTTAACTGGCCCTTGGCTAAAATAAAGCTCCACAACAAAAATAATGCGTTCTGGATTCTAAGATCGGAGATTTTCTAAACCACAGTTTTCAGTTATTGCTTTTGTTAGTGGCATTAATTTGGTAGTATTCTGCAAAAAAAATAACAAATATTTTTAAAATTTGTTCTTTCAAGCCACCGATTTCTATCGTTGTTTTTGCTCAGCATTTACTACTATTGATATATTTTTTAATACCAATTTCTAGTGATTCATGTTGGACAGAAAGGATAGCGATGGAACAAACTATCGCTTTTCTCAGAGAAGGTGTAGCTCAGTGCTCATGTTGTCAAATACCTGGTTGTCAGAAGAAGAGCACACCGGTTGTTGCAGTTGTTGGACCTGCAAAAAGTTCGACGACCATCGCTGTACAAAATTTACTTCAAGTCTTTCGAATCCCTCAAATAGGTTTTGGATTAAACTTTATCTCAAAATTTTCTTAAATCTTGATAAAATCTTGTTAAAAAGAATGTCCGTAAATTAAATAAACCAAAAAAAGGGAGTTTTTTTGCTAAGAAATTAAATTTGCGCTAGTTTTTTTCAAATTATGCACAAAGTGCCAAGTATTTTTTACAAAATAAAGCAAGTTTTAGCCATAATTTAACATCAATAGAACTGCAATTTCTAAAAGGAATTTTGAAGTTTGAAGAGAATTTTTAAATATTTTTATGCACAAAAAAAGCTGGGAGAGGTTGGCAATATAAGTGCTCTCGAAAAACCTTTAAAATTTCAAAAAATTCTTCATATTCCTGCTAACACTTCTATAAGTCCATAAATTAAATAAAGCAAAGCGCGCGAAAACGTTTGGCTAAACAGCGTCCTTCTCCAGAGGCTAGCTGTCTCGCGAAACTTTATTCTGTTACTGTTGTAAATTGCCGTCCAAAACGAATAGCGCAAAATATTTAACGTTACTCCACATTATTGCCTTATTGCCTTAGATAATTAAACTATAAAAAAATTTATAAATTATTACGTTATAATTCAATAAGTAATTATTTTAAAATCAATGTACTATTAACAATTGTAAAGCATTGCGAAAATTTTCTCATCGATTCTTATTCTTTACTTTTCAAGCCATTTCGCTCTTTCTGAACTTCAAAATCGGCAGTAGCCTTTTATATTTAAAAAAAGCTGCAAAAACTGCGCTAAATATCAAAATTCTTTGAAAATCGAATTATTATATTCTTCTATTCCTGTAATTGTCTCGATCCGATAGTTTCATGGAGATTTTAGTTATACTGTGGGCGATTCTCGCCAGAGGAAACTCTTCGCAGTTTCTCCAGTTTTTCTGGCGCTATTTATTTTTGTTTATTCTTGCTAAAAATTTATAGGTTATGGTGCTACAACAACAGATTTGTCGGATAAAGAGCAATTTCGATATTTTATGCGAGTTGTTCCATCTGATGCATGGCAAGCTCAAGCGATCCTAAAAATTTTGCTGCGCTTTAAATGGAAATACGTAGCTGTTGTTTATTCTGCTGGTAATTTTATTGCATTTTAAAAGGGTCAAACTTTTATTTTATTATATTTTAGAAATATAACCAATATGAATAAAAAAAAGTGTTTTCTTGATTCCTTTCTGTTAACTAATAAAATAATAGGAAATTATGGCGAAAAAGGTTTCGAAGAGCTGGAAAGGCTCAAAGACAATAATATCTGTATCGCATATTCCGAAAAAGTTAAGAGTTTAGCGGAGCCGGTGGAATTTGATAAGATCCTCGCTTCAATATGGTAAACAATATTTTAATTATAAAAAGTACTTATCATCTAATTAGGAAGATCCTTTCATCCAAGATTTTATGCTTTGGGAAAATATATATATATATATAATATGCGTTTATTAGAAATTGTTAAGTGTTCAACTGATGGACATACTCTTTGGACTATCAGTTCAAGAATCTTAAAACGCTAAGATAGGAGTTGTTTTGCTGATTGTTGTGTTGATTGTTTTGTTTTGGTTTTAATAAAAATTTCTGGCAGAAAGCATTGCTTGAAATCTCCTAACAAGCTGATTTAATCTAATCCTTCTTTGAGACGTATATTATAAAGCATATTAGCAAAAATCGTAAAAATAAATCGTAAGAATGGGCAATAAGAAAGAAATATTGAAGAATTTCTTAATCTATAATTAATGATAATAAATAAAATTAATAGTTGACAAAATAAGAAATTTATCTGCTTAAAGGAAACAAAAATCGAGACCGCAAGTTATTGTATGCTTCTGTGAAGGACGAACAATGCATGAGATGTTCAAAGCACAACGAAGGTTACGAAAAGATAATCCATCAATAAAACCTTTTCAGTGGATTGGTAGCGATGGTTGGGCAGACCGACTAGATGTAGTTGAAGGAGTTGAGCAAGAAGCAGCAGGAAGCTTTTCTATAAGGTGCTATGAATTTTAAAATGGATTTTTTATTTGCTTATTTATTAGTTATCAAGTTTTTTTGCCTTAATTGATTTTTTATGAATATATGATTATCTTCGAATTTTTTAAAAGTAAGATGATAAGGCTGCATTCAGAAATTATTTAGGAAAAGGGCCTATCAGCGATTTATGATGCTAATTTAAGTCTGTGAATTTTAAATCCTATATTTTTTAAAGGCACTGAGGGTATCGCCATTCTTACCCAGTCAATTTTTATTTTTTATATTTTTTTCTTGAATGTCATCGATCCCTTGATTATGATAGGTAACATAATGGAGACGTTGATCGAATGTTGTATTGTTTCGACTAGTGGCAAACCACCACAGATTCGACTATCGCTCCTTGGAGGAAGGAAATCTTTCATTAAAAGTATAGTTCGACTGGCGATGGAGGCATAGAGGCTACTTCTAACGTGATTCACTCGTGAAGGCATCTCATCATAGTAGTCAGTTCATCCAGCTAAATCAGAACTGTTGGTGACTCGCAGAAGAAAGTTAAAAAAAGGATACCATTTTTCGGTACAATGCTCGAAACGGAAACTTTTTTTTTTTAAATAGATTTTGAAATATTGGTACTAAACTTTGACACTCAACTATTGAAGGATTCATTCTCCAAATGTCGATTGGTTTGATGATTATTATTTTTCACTGAAACCAGAAACAAATGTGCTAAATCCTTGGTTTCGAGAATTTTGGGAAGAGAAGTTTAAATGTCAACTGACTGTTCCCAAAGATGATTTAATAACAAAAGTATGTACAGGAAAAGAAAATCTTACTATGAACTATAAACAGGTCCAGCTTTTTTATTTTCCAGAAGGTTTTTCGTTCATTTTTTAAAATGTTAACCTGTGATTATTCTCAAAATTCAAATAGCTAATGCTATCTAGTGAACAAATGCTCACTATCTGGTGAACAATATGGATTGCTTTCCTGAAATGGACTCAATTTTTGCTTTTTTCTCTTTTTGGCCTATGCGTTCAAAATCTCCCCTGACCGTATTGGTGGTTTTAGCAAACGTGAAAATAAATTTCCTCGGGTATTCGACGAAGAATATGCCATAAGGCGAGCTATGATGATATTTTTGATGATATGTAGATATCGATGCTTCTTGCATTAGTGTCGCCTTTGCTGGTTAAGATATGTCCTTCATCGTACCATAAGAGATGACACATATTTCGTTACATGCTAAAGCCTGTGATAAGTGGCGTTTAAAGCGATGTGGGCCAATCAAGACCTGGACCGGTACAGTCAGGAAACATTTTGAACGTATAGGTGAACCAGCAATATATGGACTTAGACAATGGAAAAAGAAATGACTTTATTACCAATAGCGATGGCTTCGGACCGAGCAGCTTGGAGACATCTTACTCTTAGCCAGTTGAGACAGTCTAACCAGTAATGGTGAGAGCTGTTAGAAGAAGAAGAAAAAAAACTGCTGAAAAGTTCAACAGTTCAACAATTTTATTTGAGATTATTATTTGATCAATCATCATAGCTTAGGATAATTCACTCTTAAACCAAAAAACTGATGATAATGAATGGAAGATTCAAATAAGAATTAGTTAAAATTAAATTTCTCCAACAACTCACTGGCTTGTCGGACTGGAGAAATATGCCACGGAGGTATAAGCCTAGCTTCACTACGATCTTTAAGCAGATTCGGGTGTCAACATCAACTTTTCGAATTGAGTAACCCACTGAACCATTCTACACTTCTTAGCTTTCTATATTCAAATTATAAAAATAAATTAGAAAATCATTCTTAATTTATTTGAAAAAAAAAGAAGGAAATGTGCTAGAAAGGCCTAGTTCACTTAAGATTCAATGATTTCAGTGTAAATATAGATTTTGATCTTTCTGCAGTAAATATATTGCAGGATGCAAAGCTAAGCCAAGTGGTTAATTCAATTCGTGTTGTTGGACTAGCACTTCAAACCATGTATAATGATCGTTGTAGAGATAATACAACAATTTGTACCGAAATGTTAGCAAATAATGGAACTTTATTATATCAATATCTAATCAATGTCACATTTATTGATCAATTTCAACAAGAAATGTATTTTGATGCAAATGGGGATCCACCCGCATGGTAGTCATTGAATATTTCTTATTCATCTTATCTTAAATTCGTATGTTATTAGATAAATAAGCAATTTGGAGTAGATTCAGGATATTCAAAATATCAGATTCCTTAAAAGAAGTTTTGAAATGGGTGTGGTAATAGGGGAAATTTTTTTAATGGTGATCGAAAATATAAAATACATAATAAAGATATGATGCTTCTATCATAAAATCCGACAAAAAGTTTTGTTTTGAAATTAGTCGGGGAAAAGAGTTAAATTTTGTCACGACTGTAGATTTTATTCTTTCAACAGGTATGACATACTTAATTACATTGGTGAAAAAGAAGGATTTCGAACGGTTGGACATTTTCGGAAAAAGCGTGGCGATCGTTATCAGTTACGAATGTCTACAAAACAAATAGTTTTTTACGATTTAAGTAACAAGGCTCCTGAATCTGTATGCAGCAAACCTTGTGGAATTGGTCAAAGGGTTAGCCACATAAAAATGTGATATAAGAATAAGTTTCGTGAAAAAATAAGGCCTATAGTAGAAAGTAGTACCTTAATATATAATCATTTTACCAGTTTCAGCAACGTGAAACTATGGCATGTTGTTGGATTTGTGAAAATTGTTTGCCACACCAATTTGTTAATTATACGATAAATCGTTGCCAAAACTGTACTCTTGGATTCTGGCCTAATATTAATCGCACAGGTATTTGCCTTGAACAGTTAGCTAATGAAGATATTTTCAGACTTTAGTAATCGTGATTTAGTGAACTCATTTTTAGCATTTTTGATTGGAACCATCATTATATTATTTAGATTTTCAGGTTGTTTACCTTTACCACATGAAGCTTTGTTATGGACATCATCTGGCGTGTTGCTCGCTTTCATTTTCGCATTCTTTGGAATTATAACAACATTTTTGACTACTTTTATTTTCCTTAGACATAATCATACACCTGTTGTCAAATCAACAACACGCGAGCTATCCTATATTATTTTAAGCGGTCAGATTTTTATGTAATTAAGAAGATTTGCTAAAAACTTTACTAATAAAGAGTAACAGTATGTGAATATGAAATTGAAGATTTAAAAAACTGAGGGACCCACAATTGATTCTATATCCTCCATATTTATACCGACTCTAAGTAAAAAAAGTCTGGTTATATTGATATAATGCCTATTACGCTGATGATACTCACAGCCTGGTGCTATATGCAACAAGAGTAAAAGAGCCTGGTAAAATAATCCCTAAATTTAGGAACAAAATAAGTCCAGCTGGAATAACTGCCTTAGTTATATTAATGGAGAACGCCTTTTTTATTTTTTCGGAATCCATTGTCTTTTTGTTACCATTACATGATTCCTGTATCGAAGAAGACATCCAGTTACATGAAATTTCCTGAAGTAACCAAATTTACTCCAAGTCAGTCGTTGTTGGAAGTATTCCGTACTAGTAGTCGTCATTATCGCAGTGCTGAAACTGGTAATTTTCATGGACCAGACCATGTTATAATTTGAGCCAGGACGCAATTCGCAATATTTCCCAAGATCTTTCAATTATCGCAAAGGTTAGGAGCAATAAGATCATTCCAAATTATTGACAACTGTAGCAAAAATCAGACTCAGGATCAATACAAATAAGATATCAGAAGCTGATAAACTGCTTAATTTTATCGATTCATCACCGGTTAAAAAAGTGGCAGGCTTTAAATATCTTAGACTAAATGTTACACTAAATAGCCAAGCGAAAGGCAAAGTTGTAGCCTGGATGACCGCGCGTAGAAATGCAAAACTTTTTTGATTGTCTGGCGAAAGTTACATGGAACCGCAGCGAAAACGAAAGTTTGTTCCTATATAGCTGTACGGTCTTGCTATGCAGTTGCGAAATATAGCCAGAATAAATGATTTTAAAGCCAATCAACTTTAGCTATTCTTCAAGACATATTTTTAATGTGCCAACTGAAAAAGATAAATCTCGCGTAATTGCATCTACCTTCATTCAAATACCGTCTCCATTACTACTCAATATCATCACAGAGCGTCACTTAAGCTTGTTAGGCCATATTCTTCGCAGGAACTGGTATTTATCTCGGTATTTGCTAGTCCCTATGATGGATAGCCGCAAAAGCGAGGAGCAATAAGGTCTGATATACAGATGAGATTTTGAACGTATGAGATGAAAAAAAGGAATGGCTTATGTCATCGGAATGAACGCTTGCTTTCCCTTGTAGTTGAAACCAACCTGATCAATAATGGTGAGAGCTATTAAAAGAAAAAAAAGACTATTTTTGCGATTTAATAACTGAATTTGCTTTTCAAAAAAGTATTCGAATCAACAGCATGATTTATGAATTCTCAAAAATTCTCAAAATAGAGTAAACAAACTATGAATTTTTTTTTTGGCTAGGTTAGGCCTGCCTTTTAGGTATCACAGCTTGTTATTCAACAACATTTGCAATATTAGCCCGGCCGTCTTTCGTGACATGTTTCATGACTCGGACAATACCACCGATAGCTTTTTCAATCATATATTCGGCACTATTGACGAAAACAAATCGAATCGCTCGAATTTTAGCTGGAAGCAAGAAACGAATATTGACCAAAAAACCAAGATTTTTAAGTACTTCATCCCAAGTGAGTCCCTTAATAATACAAAATTTCATGCAGTATTATAAAACTCCTGGGAGGGTCTGAGAAAAGGTACTACGTTATGTGAATCTTCTAGCAGGAGATATATTATATTATATTATATTATATTATATTATATTATATTATATTATATTATATTATATTATAATTATATTAATTATACTATACTATACTATACTATATTATATAACCTCAGAAAATAAAAGGCCATTCGATCATCGTGCTCTGAATTCCAATTACTAGGAAAATTCGTATTAAACAAATCAAGTTAATGAAAAGTACGTTTGTTGTACGAAAATGACGGTTTAGGTAATTATTACGTGGTTATTGGTTGCTATTGAATGTATAATCGTTGCTGCTGGTGTGATCCAAGAAATGCCTTATGCAGGATTTGATCCATATTATCAACCTAGAAGAATGGTTCTTACTTGTTCAACAACCACTTTTGCATTTCTCTCGCCCTTCCTATGGAACTTATTCCTTATAACTTTATGTACTTTGTATGCATTTAAAACTCGAAATTTGCCAGAGAATTTCAATGAAGCAAAATTTATTGGTTTTACAATGTAGGTATTTTTTTATCATTCATTTAATTTTACTCTGATATTTTTCATTTATATATTTATTTTTTGATTCATTGATTATTCATTGAAAAAACGATATGAAAAGTTCAAGATCCAAAAGTGTTTGTGTTTAATTTTCTTTTTTATTCAGCGAAATAATCTGCAGTTAAATCTCTTTCTTTAAAATAAAACACCGAATACGAGTTTATAAAGAGTATAGACTATGAAAAAAAGAGTATAGATTGCGAAGAACAATGGGCATTTCTTTTTTTGAATGCTCTCCTACTAGGAATTATTGGATTAGATTGGATAAATAGAAGCAACATATACCACTCGTTTCTTTGCATATTGCCTATAATTAAAGCATTAATTACTAATAATAAGCATCCTACAATAATACAATTTCGGAGAAAATTCTCCTCATGTACAGAATACTTTTAAAGGTATTGTACATTGGTTGTTTGGACAGCTTTCATAGTACTACATCTCGGAACAACCAATAAAGCTTTAACAATGAGCTTTTCATTCAATGTGTCAGCCAGTGTTGCGCTTGCTTTGCTTTTCTTTCCAAAATTGTATATAATAATATTCCATCCGGAAAAAAACGTTCGAGCAAGCTATGCAACAACGAAACTGATTCGTTGTCATTTTGGAAATTCGCAAGGAATGGATAGTAAAAATATGTCATCAATTTCGAAATTACGAACAAGCCAACAGTCATTTTCAAGGTAAATTTGATAACTTTTGTAAGGCTGTTAATTTCTAAAAAATCTCTCAAATTTTTCCGAAACAAATTGTCTAAAATTAATCGCAATATCCCAAGGTTTATCTGGAAAAATTTTTCAGCCATCCAACAAGAACAGCATCAATACATGTAAGCCAAAGTCCATCCCAGGATGCATCTACACAAACAGATTCGAATAATTCGTCCTTTGCTCGAACATTTTCAGTACTGGGTGGTAAACGCGGGTCGAAAATGATCAATGATGATGTTATGCAGTTAATCGAGTGTTGTAGACGATATCAAGTATGTACAAAGATGTCAATTGTAAACTGTTACTATCCCTCAAAGATGCTTTAATTCTTCATTATATGTGCAAAATTTTTTAAAATTTTTTAAAAGAAGCATTCAGGATGAGAAATTTCAAAGAATAACGAGTTTGTTGCCGGAAGAACCAGAAGATGACGAAGTCAGCAACCTTTTAGTCGAATCGATTGAAAAATCTATGCGGACTGTTCTCAGTACTGTCGCAAGACGACCACTTTGTGGCAATCCACCTATTCAAGAAGAAGGCCTGGAACAGGTTTGATAAAAATGTCAAGATCTAAAAGAAATAAAATGCTTATGTATAATGCTTATTTGGTTATTTATACATATTTTTATACATAAAATATATATATATATATTTATGTAAAATATATTTTTCTTTTCAAGTGCTCAGTATTTATTTTTATATTGGCGAATTCCATTGATTAAGACATCTTTACTAAAGATTTACTTGAGATTTAAATCTGCAACATAACCAACAAGATTTTATGTTTAATAGACGTTGATTGCCTGCGAATGAAATCCAGTTCATAATACTTATTCTCATCTAAAGCAATATACCACCCTAGCCTGACTCTGCACGAAATATTCATCCAATATATTAATTAATATTTAGAGTGATAATATATACTGAAAATGAAAATGAAAGAATCGTTCTAATCTAAAAATTTTCCTTCCTCCTCATAGCAAACCTCAACATGATTGGTTTTAAATAGTTCTATTAACTTTTAGAATTTCACCTCATGGAAGTGTAGTTGCCGATGGCATCCAGAACTGAACTTTTTATGAGGTTGCAGGTTTAATCCTGCCCCGAAGAAGCAGTGAGTCAAGCCTATGATGCGAATGGTAGTAACAAACCACCCGAGTATACCTACCATCAGTCTATAAATTAAGCTAACAAAATAATCTGTCAAATGAAACCTATTTGAAATAAATTTCAGTTATTAAAAAGACGTGGACTTAATTCGATGAATTTTACAACAGCCACATCATTGTGATAAATAATTTACTTCATATGATATTGCTCTATTGCTCTATTTTAATGTGCCTCACACTGCAATCTCCGTGAAGTTCTTTCATGATCGAAACTGATCAATTCCTTCTCATTATATTTTATTTGTGTTGTAAAAAATTTAATACGATTTTCGTTTTTATATAGTTACCTCTATTTTTAATTGAATAAAAACAGGTGATTTTGAAAAATTTAATATTGAAAGTTTTTTTTAAAATTATTCCCGATTTTTAAACTTTGAAGATGCAGAATTTGATCGGAATAATCAAAATGAAATAATTGAGAACCAGTTTGCAAAACAATTAATTAAAATAAGGAATAAGGAACAATTAAGTAATTAAGAAATTACAACGATTTTTAGCGAAATCTTTATAGCCGAATGGTGCTTTAACGTCAAGCGAGATATGTCCGATTATTTTCCTGATAAATCTATCAATAGAAATAAAATCTAGATATATCATTGATTCACTTATCTTTTATGTTCAGTCAAATATGGTGAAGAGCATATTATTATGGATAATGAAGCCAGCCAAACCAGAAATGCTAAAAGAAAGGGAATAATTTAGCAAATAATTTGATAAGTTTTATTAATTCTAGACAAGTCACTTCAGTATAAAACTGAACTGATATAAGAAAGATAAGAATGATCTATCCGAACGAAAAAGAATGCATAGTTTAATGAAACAACATAACGTATTTATTACTCCAATTGTTATTGTTCTCTTTTATTCATCAACATATTTTGAAAAGAAAGTGATTCTTTAAAATTCCAATCTAATTCCAATTTATTAAAGATGGGATATCCCATAATAAATAGTTGGACAAGTGAAATTTTGTTCGCAAAAAATTTTTGTTACTTTCTAAACCATTAATTTCTTATTTAGATCTGAAAAAAAGTAGCACAAATTATAACTTTAATGTTTTCATATACTACTGGATAATTTTGGCCTTGAAATATTTTTTTGAAGAAACAGCACAAATTTAGAACTGTGGATGAAATCTCGACTAATAATCTCATTAAATACATGATATAATGTTGATAACCTGTTTCTTCTCCATGTAATTCTATTTCTATCCAGTGACAGTACCTCTTCCTAATAGGGCGAACAAGTACAAATAGTGAATGGTGTTGAAAAAAACTGTAGCATCAGTTTTTCTGGTAAAAGAATGAAACGAAGAAAGGTGGAATTTATTAAAAATCAAAAATTATTCATGCAAAAAAAATTTGTTAAACCCTTTAAATTAGAAATGCTTATCAACCGAACAAAAAATTAGAATCGTTACTTAAATTTATTATTGCTACGCGTTCTTCTACAACCCACTTCTCCATTTCCAAAGTTTTCAAAAAAATTGTGGAAAAAATTCGTTATCAAAAAAAAACCTGTGAAATTTGGACATTCTTGGAGACAGGCACAGGATAGCTGAGTGGACAGTTTTATTGTATTGAGTGGAGTTTGTGTATAAGATGTATTTTACGGATCCGTCGAGCGGATAAAATCGCACATGATTGTATCCATCTTCGCTCAAATACCATCTGTATTAATAATGTTATCATATGGCGTCGTCTTCTGGATAGAAGTTCTACGTCATCCACAGGAGTTGATGCATATTTCGTTACTCACTACTACCTGTGATCGATGACGTCAAAAGCCAGGAGGGCCAATCAAGGCCTGGAATGACACAGTCAGGAAAGATTTTGAATATATAGGGGAACCAGCGATATATGGACTTGAACGATTGAAAAAGGAACGGCATCTATTACTACTACTCGGAGCAGCTTGAAGACGTCTTATCTTTGTAGCCGGCGGAGCCAGCCTGACCAGTAATGGTGAGAGCTGTTAGAAGATTGAGAGGAGCTTGTACTTTGGCGAGAGGGAATCTTCCATTCAAAAATGAATGTGATGGTGGCGACTCGCCTGTATTTCTAACGTTAACTGATTCCTCGACAAAAATTCCTAACAGCCAGCACAGCAAGCCTAACTTTTAAAGAAACTGTGCATTTCTTTTTCATACTTGCAAGCGTAAAATTCGTTTTTAATTCTCGAGACATAAACGACTTTTTATTGCAGGATCACGTGAGGAAAGCTGAAAACTTTAGCGCCCAAATCATCAAACATTCCTATGTCGCTCGATAAGGTAAAAAATCCTTGAATTATTCACTGAGAATATTATATGTTTAGGAAAACTTAAAAAATTTAGAAAAATTTGCAAGAAAATCGATGTGAAATTTCGGAAAATTTTGAAAAATGAGATTTATGAATTATTTTATTCAATTATTTTATTCAAATTAAATTCTTTCATTAATCAAAATAGCGTTTTGCCAAAATTAAAAATGAAATCGAAAAAACTTAAATTTAAATGAAAATTCAATGTATCGATATTTATTCATCGATAAAAATACTTTGAGTTCAAAGCGTATGAAAGCCTGAAACAAAAATGAATTAAGATGATAAAATTGCTTTAGTAATTAGTCCTAAAAATTTTAGTCCTGAAAATTCCAAGAAATTAAATTAAGAATTTGAATTCGAGGCTATTGAAACTGAAACTTTCAGGTTTAGGTGTTATTAAAATTCATTAAAATTTTTATTGAAACGCTTTTCTTGGTCATATCTTTTACGATTATCGCTTCTGTTGTACTATATTGTTATTGTTATTGAAATGCAAAAAAGGTAAAAATTCTACAAAGAAAATTTTCAGACTTAGAATTTCCTTAAAATCTTCTTGAATTAGCAGCCTAACGATGGAGGTGCTTTTAAAGAAAACCAGCAATAATTATTTTTTTGCGACAGCATTAATTTCGAAAATATATAAAATTTCCAGGTTCGTATCCATTACAGAGCGATTGATGACGGTTTGAAAAAAACAAATTTTCGAGAAAATTGCCAAAAAATTGACGGTAACTATAGATAAAATGAATAGTGTTCAAAAGCAATGGTGAATGTTCATATTTCATCAATAATTTTTTTCAATTGGGTTCGTGGAAAAAGTTCGTGGATGAAACTTATATGTTCATATTTCAAATTTTTTAAAACTATGAATAAAGCGTGATAAGTGATAAAAGAGATCTAAGCAGAGGTGATTGACTGATACGTTGCTATGCCATGGTCTTTACTTCCAAATCTTCACGGAGTGAACCTGTCACCAAAATCTGATATGAGCACCTTCTACTTATACTCCCCTCCTATACTTCTATTACCAACCGACTCTCTGCGATTACAAAGAAAAACGAAGGCCACCTCAAAGTTTAAATTCAAATATTTGTACAAGCAGAATGCCTTTTGCAATGTATTTTGATTATTCTTGAAAAATTAATTTAATTTAATATAATATAAATGTAAAAATGTGTTGGAATAGAAATAATGGATGATGGGGAATTTTTATAGTTTTACGAAGCACAAACTGTTTATTACCTTCGAGAAATATTTTATTTACATAGGGTGTGAAGCGACGGACAAAGCAAACAAAGCGAAGAATCGTATAATTTGAATTCGTATAAAAGCTTCGTTTCGTGATTCATTTAATGGCAACGATACGGAAAATTCAGTGTTTCTCGTTTATTTCCACTTTGTTTCGAAAACTTTGTTTTTATCTTTGTTTGTTTTTATCAATTTCAATCCAGAAAAATCATCGATTAAGCAAATATTTGAGACTTTTCTACCTCTTTGAATTTCTCGTCTGAATAGAACTTCGATACGTCGATGGTCTTTTCTCGAACCATTTAAAATGCCTCTAAATATTTAGCGGATTCATAGGCTTCCTTGGTGAATATTATCCTCCGATTGCTTTATTGGTCGCTCTATTTCGATTAGCAATATTAAAACATATTATAACGTATCACTAACATGTAATTTCATAGCCATTAATAATTGCTATAGTAAGAGAGGAGCGTCGCTAGAATTGCTCGGCTTTTTCAATGACAGGTTTATTCCTGTTGGAAGCAGAATTCGAACCGGTGACGTTCAAAATAATAATTTGAGCAATGACCAATCGATTACGCTATGGAATCTTTATCACAAATAAAAAATTGGCAATTCGATTGATTACTTCAGCGCCTCGCTAGAGTTACAGTGGACTGATGCAGAAAACTAAAAACTCCTAAAGGTCCTAATCGACAGTTTAATTGCAACGATTTTAAGATTTTCTAGAGATGAATCGTTTTCATAAAGGGATAAAACGATGTGCTGGTGATAAGAAAAACGAATTCTTTGCATGACTGGTTTACTCGTGCCAAAGAGTAGGATGATCCGAATTAAGAATTGAAGAAAACAATTAGAAATTTAGGATACCAATCTTAATTACAATTTTGACGGGATTGCAATTTTGGATAACGCAAGAAACATTTAAAATATCAGAAATGAGAAATTTATCATAATCTTTTATCATCAAATTTCAGATTTAACAAAAATAAGTGAATGTAACTTGAGCATTTTGCTAAAAACTAAGCAAAGCACAGATGGTCACACCACCAAATCAGTCAATCGATTATGTTGTCGATCAGATTGAACGCCTAGGTGGCAGAATCAATGATCTTGTTCTTAAGGTTGCAATTAAGAATATCATATTTATATTTTTAAATTACCTCGAAATTTAAATAATTTAATAAATAAATTTAAACAATTTAAATAAAATTCAAGCTGAAAACTTTGGAAATAGCTGTGGAATAAAAACAAAACTCCAAAATCCATTATCGCCCTTCTTATTCTTTGTTTGAATCTGCCATTGAGGCTTTCTGATATCATCATTAGTAAATTTAGGTGAAAGAACGCGTAGACCAACTGACAGTAATGGGAGATGCAACTGCTGCAAATTTAACACGGACCATTGAAAAAACATATAATGACGCCAATGCGATCTTGGTACTCTTGTAAAACTAATTAAGTTAACCGAACCCTGTAGACCGAAGTTGTGGCTTGCAGGATTCCAAGAGAATCCAGATAACCGGATAAAATTCAATCCTTTCAACCATTCATGTAAACAATATAGATAACCTATTATTTGCATGCGAAATTCCTTAATTTCTATATTTTTAAAAATTTTCTGGGAAAAAGATTGCGAATTTCGCAAGATTCTCAGAAATCCGAAGCGAAAGTTTTCAGAGGTTCATAAAAAGTTTGAAATCGTTAATCATTAATATAGATTTGAAAGTATATTATTAACTCATATTATTATCGATACGATTTCATTCACTTCCGATTTTTCACTATTTTGCAGGAATCAGCCGAAATGGAAGCCAATGAATTTCCGGTTAAAATGGTTTACATTATATTAATATTACTGGTAGTACTTCTAAGCATCTTAATAATTTATTCATTTACTTCTTGTGCACTACAGATAGGAAAAAGACACCGTCGATTCCATCGACATAACGAATTGTTTAGGTAACAATTGTTCAATAAAATGTTCAAATGGCTCATTATTTCGCCAAGACATCTAAAAAACGACCATTGGTATCCTATGAACCTTCAAATTTTCCGATAAATCTTTCAGCATTGCTTTAAAAAAAAAATGCATAACTATTCATAAATGCATAGCTTCATAAATGCATAAATGCATATAAATGCATAACTTCTCCAGTTTTATTATATTTTTGTAAAATTGTTATATTTAATTACCATTTATTAACAATTATTTACCGATATGAATGTTTGCAATGTCACATTTTCACATTTATCAGGGAAAAAAGAAAAGCAAATAGATCATTTGCGATTGCTGGAATCTTCTTTTCCTTTATCTTGTGGATCATTATGAAATCCTAAATTTCTCCAATCATCTCGTTCCATTAATCCATTATCCATTCTACACTGTAAATACACGCGGCTAAGGTCTCGACATTCGTGACTTAAATTCTATAAAAAATAATTAAGTAAAATTAACCCTAAGACTTGCTTAACTTGCTTGCTATAATTTGCAAATTTTGATCAATTTTTTGTGAAATTGTGTATGGAAACAGAAAAAAAATTGATAATTTCAATTGCAGAATCGACAGCATAAGAAAATGGAGAAATGAAATGCTCAATAATGTTAAATGCCAAATATATACCTACAAAAATACGATACCTCTTTCTTGTTAAGACACATAACATAATTGAGCATTTCCATTTTACACATACCATCATGATCAAGAGGAAAAGATCCTTGCAGCGGTGGAATCGGTTTTTGAATTCTTGAAAATGGACCAGCTTGTCCGGCCATATATATTCTGCATATATTTTAATTTCATTATATAATTTTATTATTATATGATCACAAAAGTGTCCTTAAATCTATCTCTTATATCACTATCTATATAATTACGTATAAAATTAAATTAGAAATATAAACGAAAGAAAAAATCAGAAATAGCCGAGATTTTAAATGACAGAAAAACTCTTCACTTATAATTTTAACAAAAAACAATATGAAAAATTTATTCTTCCACAAAATAAAAATATAAAATCAAAAATCCATATCCTAATTCACTCATGTTTTCCATTTATTTCATTCCTTTTATTCTGTTCGCTCTGAAGGCGTAAATATTTCTCCCAACTCTGTATAGATATTTCATCAGTGGGTTTTACTAGTTTATATTTGTGATAATATGCAACAAACATTGCTGTGCCTTAAAAAAAACAATATCAAAAATATAATGAAGATAGCCTATAATGAAGAATGTTGCAGGTAAAAATAAAAGTAAAAAAGCAAACGAAAACGAAACTTAAAAAGATTTATGAGTAATGTTAAATAGAAGGATTAAACGTATCCATGGAAAATAAAAATAGGATAACTCATAACAAAATTACTCAAATTATTATGTGAAGCGAAGATTCGACTGCTCCCTCCAATAGCATTAAAACTAAATGAAACTATTAAAAAATCCCTGTAATGATGATAGCCCACCAATATTTCTATCGCCAAGTGACCGATTAGAAAATTTTTAATCGTACATTACATTAGGTTAAGCAGAAACGATCATTAATCATTGATTTATTGAAAACAAAATGCAATAAATTTAAATAAAGCAGAGAAATTTTAAAAAAAAAATGCAAGAAAGCAATAAAAATAAAAGGAGCACTTACTAACAAAAGCGCTAGTTAACATGGCTTTATATAAGGTAGAATATTGAACCATATTTTTCTATAAACAATCAGTCTGATTCTAACGTATCTGCGTCGTTTCCGACCCAATAATTTAAATCTTTATGGCGTGTATTACTTCCTATTAGCTGACCGAATGAAATAAAATCTTCCATCTATAAAAACAATATTACAAATTTACAACGCATTATATCGAGCAAAAAAAAAGAAATAGAATAAAATTTATGGAAACAAATCAAAAAAAATCAAAATCAACAAAAAAATATTTTAGCGACTTTCATGAATTTCCCTATAGGTAAGCGGAATTTTTACCTCATTTTATAAAGAGCAAGATATTCAGAGTAGTCAGGGCCAAGAGTATTTTAAAAAAATATTTTCAAAACCAAAATTCAAAAATATTAAAAAGGTAATGAAATTCGCGCTGTATTCGCTTATTATCTTCTTCAAACCTAACTCACATTCGTTTAACATTATTTCGAATATTACTATTACAAAATCGCCTAATTGCCTAATTCCCCTTAAAGCCCAGCTCGTTTCATCTTTTTCCTGTGCAGGAGAAGACAAACTGCAAAAAACAATTTTCAAATAGAATACATAAAGGAAAATATTCTGATACGATTTATTGATATTTTAAGGAATTTAATAATATGATGAGGGGATAAAATGGCCCAGTGCGTTGATGCTGAGGTTCGATTCCCTACAGGAGTGAACCTGTACAGAAATCTGGGTGATGCTGGCGACTCATCTGTATTTCTGCCGCCAAGGGATTCCCTCGCATATTGCCCAATGCGACAAGGCAGTGGAGCGATTTTAACCAGTAATGGTGAGGACCCTTTAAAAAAAAAAGATGAATAGCATTTTTTTGATTCTTGAGATGGATGGTTCCGGAAATGAAATTAAAGGACTGTAACTTAATCAATCTAAGAAAATCTAAGAGGAAAGTAACTCAATCATTCTAAGAAAAAAGAATATACTGCGAATAAAATAAATCAAGCAAACGAACAAAAACTCATTAATACTGCCTTTTATTTTCTGTTTTATAAGAAATAAATACCGGTAATGAATAAATTCTTTCAAATCGCATTTCTTTACATTTTTCAGTTGATTTTACTTATTTGTTGTTTATTTTTATTAACAACACGCTGCTTTCTGTCGATTTAATTTAGAAATAAATATTGTATTATTATAAATATTATTCGCTTCGAAATAAAAAATTGGCTATTATTTAATACCTATGGCTTTACATTCCTTTATTCTTTTACTATTATTACTACTATTTTGCTATTTTTCACGTTAAGATATGTATTGGAACATCGCTTCAAATATCTACCGTTATGTGTCTCATCGACTTTGGGTTACCTTCATTCAATTGATAGAACCCAGAGAAGATCGACACATAAAGGTATTTTATCAATGTACATCGGTACAGGTCTGGAGAACTAAAAGACTCCGAAATAAGAACTTCAAGGCCTGCGTCCTTCCCCTTATAATATTATGTGATATTATGTGATAGACGGGATAATGGATACCGCTCAACACTCAGCACTCAAGCGGTGTACAAATCATTCCAAAGTATCGTATTGTTACAGATTATAGATTACATATAGACTATTACAGATCTTGAAACGCTGATGATATAATCTGTTTTGTTGATCGTTATGCAAATAATACTAAACAACGTGTCAGCAACTATAGCGAGAATTGGACTTACAGTGTAAATAAAATTAAACTAATCTTTTCATCTTATATACACGAAACTAATAAAATATCTCTTTTTATGGATTCGTTGCCGATTGAGGATCTAATATTTTATGCCGTTGGCCTAATACTCTTGGATTTTATACCGAATGGCTAAGCAAAAGAAACACACAGGATAACAGCATAAATAGGGCCTAAATTCTTTATGAAGCCCTGAAGAAATCACCATAAAAACTTGAGCCCCCATGTCTATATAGTTGCGATTCGCTATATGGCTGCGAGACATGACCAATGAGAGGACAGTAAGAAATTATATGTTTGATTTTCTGACCATTGACGTCTAAGATATATTTTGCGGATTCACCGAGAGGGATAAAATCTCATATGATCACATCAACTTTTGCTCAAATACCACTTGAATTAACAGTACCATAATAAAATGTCTTGACTGGTTAGAGCATTCTTCGTCGCTCACCACAAAACTCTGTGATAGAGTTGACATATTTCATTATATGCAAAACTCTGTGATGGATGGCGTTAAAAACGAGAAAAGCCAATCAAGACCTGGACGGATAGTTAGGAAAGATTTTGAACGTATAGGGCCAGCAATATATGGACTTAGACGATGGAAAAAGGAATGACTCGGAAAGGAACGGAATGAAAAAAAAGAAAAAGCAAAGAAAACTTCTATTACTACTAGCGATGGCGTCGGACCGAGCAGCTTGGAGACATCTTAGCCAGCTGAGCCAGTAATGGTGGCTGTTAGAAGAAGAAGATTCTGCACTATTTACGAAATTTCCATTTGTTTTTTATTTTTTGTCTTTATTTATTTTCATTAAAATTGCAATCAAAACGATAGCAACTCAGATCATCGTGTTAATAGGCACGAATTCGGAATCTACTACGGACACGAGTACCTACCATTGAAAAAGCCGGATGATAGATGAGTTCTGGTGAGTTTTTTGTACTTCGGTTGCCAAATGGTTCCCTGTCAAAAATTTCTGAACGTTGTAACAGTGAGCGGAATTAAACTAAATAAAAATGAGCACCAGTCATATAATTTTTTTACTTAAGCTATTCGAATAATTTCCACTTTTTCGCAGGAAAATAAAACAGGAAATTATAATCCACAAAAAAACAAACCCAATAATAGAGATTAAGAGTGGTTGGTGAATAACGATGCAGTCGTTGCCTAATAGTTTGACTCCGCCGTAAAACACAAAAAGCGCCAAAACTAATCGCTAATAACGCAGCCTCAAAGGCGAAAACTGAATAAAATAGCTTCGATCTCCGCTTCGCCAGTCCAACAACTGAAAAAAAAAGTTTTGAAAGAAGGAACATTTCGGTTAGATGGACGGCGGAATGGCTTCTACACTTGGACTGCGATTTTGCTCTCTCCTGATTTTTTGAAAGACCTTATTTATCCCGAATTCCCAAATATTTCAAAATATAAAAAGTAAAAAGTAAATAAATAAAACTGATAAAATATTGACAAGATTCCAAATTTTCAAAGATAATTCGTCGCGAAACCCAAATTTTATTCAATCTCAAACTGCTATACTGCTAAACTGCTATATTATTTCTTTCCGAAAATTGCTGAGCTTTTGAGTTGCTGGGTCCGTTTTAAGGTTGAAGGTCAACCATATGAACTAAGTTAGAAACGTAAGTTGGTGGTGAGAAAATAGCGTAGCGGTTTGAGAGAATAAAGATAAACGGCTGAGACTGAAGGAGAGAAGAAAGCGGAAATGTAAACCATTTTGCCGTAGGTCAAAGGTCGAGCCATATAGCCAACAAGCTGCATTTATCTTTTTTAAATATTTTTAATTAAACTTTATTGGTTATTGGAAATAGCCAGCTAACCAGCATATTTACAAACTGGTCAGTTGCGCACGTCGCTGAGTCAATTGCTCATTGTTGTAAAGTACCACGCTCTTATACCATTGTGCATTCCATTACAAAGACGATTTTTACATTAATTTTGCAAATTTCGATTAAAAACCTTGTGGCCTAAAGAAATAATGGAAAAAATAAAGACTTTTCATTTACAAAGGACAAACGCAAACAAATATGAGAGAAAACAATAAAGAAAAAATTAGATTATTGAAGTTTTGTGGCCGTTTGTTTGCGGAGTTTTATGGAAATTCATTGGCCAATTAGTTTCGGCAAAATTTGGAATGCAAAAATGTGATATAAGGAGCTCTCTATTGTGTTGTTAAAAATGAATCAAAGTAAATTTTGGTCTTCGCACTGTGTGCCACTGATATGATAAATGATAAACGATAAATGATTGACTAATGGCTAATGTGTTCAATCCATCGTCGTAAGTCATGTGTCTGATAAAATTGCGTCCTTCTTCTGCTTAATAGACTAATAAAAAACTTTTTACAGGATCTATTGGAGGTGGGAAAATGCAGATTCGTCTTTTGCGAAATGAGTTAGTTAATGCAGCTTTTTAGTTTTTCGACTTAATTCACCACTGACTTCATTCATCCATTCCCTGCAAATTTTGCGGTTATTTCGGCCCACAGATCTTTGCTTCAATTTCGTCATAAATTAATTAAGTAGAGCCCAAACATCGCCCGCTTTGTGCTTAAATATACCATAAAAGAAGTATCGTTTCACCCTGAAGTAGGCCAAACATACACCATAGTCTACTCAGACAAGCACTGAATAAATGCATTCAGTGCTTAAATGCTTAAATACAACAAATGCAAGATAATCCTTAAACTTTTTTCTAACATTTTTCTCATTTTTTGTTTAATTCTTATTTTGCTTAAATTTTTTCAAATCACCGTTAGGCTCATTGAATAAATACATTTACTGGTTAGGCTCGTTCCAGAGGCTTGTCGGATCAGACTTATATGCCAAGCAGTCCCTGCGGGATAGAAGGTGAGTTGCCAGTTTCATCCGGACTTTTGGACAAGTTTATTTCTGCTAGAAGTCCAATTTCAACATCGGCAATCCGAATTGAGCAACAACTCACTGAGCCATTTCTTTTGTTTTTTTCGTTATGCACCTGACTAAGAGTGGTGCATCGGCGAATCACAAATCTTGATTCTCAGTGGCATTTATTTTGCCACTGGGCCACGACGCATATGAATAATTAATAAAATTAAAATATATTAAATTTGCAGGGAAGGATTGAAAGAATGGACAATGATTGAACTTCAAGGATCACTTGAATCTTCTAGTGAATTGTCAGGACAAACGATCGGCATCTTAACATGGGAAATTGATAAGGTTCACCATTAATTCTTGTAGATATTAAAGTTTTTTGACCATTTCTATTTTCTATTTCCATAACAATACCATAAAAATTATATTTTTCTTTTTTTTCTAAAATATTATATTCAGGCTTATTTTCTTATTGGACACCATATTCTTGAAGGAAAACTTACGAAACTCGAGAAACCATTTATTGTTTTATCAAAGAATGAACAAACTTATTGCAATAATATTACTGCAATTATAAGGAAAAAAATTTTATTCAGAATGCGTCCAAAACCAGTGGTTTTACTACAACAGTAAATAAATTTTAAATTTTTTTTTGACTAACCCTTCATGATTTAAAAATTACTACTTTAATATCTTTGTTGTCTGATATACAAGTAAACTACATAAAAATGAATTGTTTAAAAATCTTTTACAAAATCTTTAGAAAAGCTTAGGCATATCGACGTGCAATTTACTAAAATTTTAATTAAGTTTATGAAATGTTTTAATTTATTTGATTGAAAAAAAAAACAATTTCTCTTTCATCAATTATATATATTTGATTTATAACAAATTCTATAGCTATAACATTTTTGTAAAAGAGACAAACAACAGTTTTATTTAATTATCAATAGATCCTATTCCGATATATTATTTAACAAAACGATTTTATAAATGTAAAATAAAAAGATGGAAAATAGGGAAAGTTCCAAACTTCAGTAAATAAAACTGTTCAAAGTTCAAAGGCAACACGAATGAAATGGTAAATGGTAAAATATTCATATATTCGAAAGTCAACAATTCTTTCCATAAAAAAGTAGAATATCACTATACGATAATTACTAACACAAAAATACCTTTGAACTAAGAATTGTTTAAAAAAATTCTTTTATGAATTCATATTTTATTTTTTTGCAAACGGTTCGTAGCTGATCGGAAATCGAGTCACCTTAAAATGCTTTGTACTATTTTCAGAATTAACCTTGCCTGACGTTTATATTGTCTTTCGAAATTACCATCTATGAATGCTGAAATTTAAAATTTTTTAAAATTAATAAAGCTTTATGAATAAGGCTGTTAAAATGCTTTTTGAACGAAAAGCATCTATCTAATAACAATAAGTTCATATTCTATTCTATATCATTCTGGTTTGGCACGTTCCGCTAACTATTTGGATAAGGTCTCAGAAAGCCACTTGGAGAGAGATGAGGTAATAAGTCTTCTGCATGGATAAAAGCTAATTCTCGTGAAGAGACAAACATGATGGCTGATTTGAAGCTATAAAACTTAACTGACAAGTCCAAGTCAATATTTCAAGAGTACCTTCACAAAGAACTAAGTGGAAATTTAAAAAATGAAGTTAACAATTAATTTTAAAAACAATGATAACTTTACAAATAAATATGGAAAAAAAAGAAATTATAATAAGTGAAAATAAAAAAAGCATGGGAAATAATGTGAAATAAGCCTTGGATAATTTTAGAAATTTTTTGAACAAATTTTGCATTTCGCAAAAAATTTAATCGGGAAAAGAAAATATCTTTATTGAAATAAGTTAATGTAAATAAAAACGCAATTTTCGTCAAAAATGTACTTGACAAACTTTTCTGAAGATGACTAAGTATAAAATCATATTCCGGCACAAGCGCTGCATTTTCAACTTTTAATTGCATAAGTGCATTTTCAATGAACCTAGAAAAATTCTAACTCTTATTCAGATAATTATTATTCAAATAATCAACTGAATTCCAATTTCATAATAAATAGATAATTAAAAAAAATATTTCAAAAAGTTCGATGATAACTACATCAGAACAATATGTTAACCACTATAAAAACACTGATAAAATGTTAATATTTTGAAACCTGAATTTTCGATCTATATCATCCATGTCAGTTAGCTTTGATGTCAGTTTGTGCAAAATGCGCAGTGTTAAACGAGAAGGAAGAGATGCAACTTTACCGCAGCTCATTGCTTCCCAATCGATTTTTTCACAGACAAACAATAAACTGTGCAAAGTTTTTTGTTCGAGTGCCTAAAATATTACATTTGTTCAATATCCCATTTTCATAAATGTGACATTATGATCCATTTATGTGCGACATTATGAGGTGAAAATGATAAACACTTTATAAATTATCTTACTGAATACCAAAGCGTATAGGAAATAAAGAATATAGGATAATAATCAAAAAAATTTCGAAACCTATTTCAGAAGTTAAACACTGAAACTTTTGGTCAAAATATGATCTAAAAAATAACAGCGAATAATAACAAGTAGAAATGTGAACGATAAATGATAACAATATATTGTAGAAATGTGACAATAACAAATATGAATCCATCATTGGCTAGTTACAGATACCGCACCTGTTCAACTGCTGTGATTAATTCTCCATTACGAGTAAGTTTAATGAATAAAGCTCGATCAAATTTTTCCATGTATCCATCCGACTCGTCAGCTTTTGAAGATTCAATAATTTCATCATGCACATTTGCGAGATTTGCCATAAATTCTGATAAACCCTTATGAAAAGATTCGTTAATTTCTTGAAAAAGAGCCCGACATGTTTTCTCAACAGCAGGAATAGCCACTGCATTTATCATTTCGCTTATAGCTTTTTGTGCTTCTTCAGAAAAAGCTTGTTTCAGACTGCTTTGATTTAGCTGAAAGTTTAATCGTTAAGAGTTAAAATAACAGAAAAAGACAATGAACAAAATTTTAAAATTGCCAAATTTCGCACACTGCAATGTGCAATGTTGAATCGAAAGCAACGATTGCTTTTTCAGAAAGAAACTACCTTCCCATAGAAAAATTTATAGAACCTTTAAATCCACACTGACGGTGTCCATTAATTGTTCGATTAAGTTTTCGCTGTTCACCAAAGAACGTTTATTTTGCAGGATTAGTGCCTCAATTTTATCGAGCAATCGTTGATCACGTATTGCCATTTCTTCTTCTTAAAGTTGAGAAAGTGATGAAAAGTGAAACAAAGAAGAAAAATCTTCATTGAATTTATCAGTTCGATTTTTTTCATTTTTCGCAATATTAATTCCAAAAAAAAGAAAAAAATTCGAGAAGAAAATGCATATAAGAAAAAATTATTACTCAATTGCCAGACCGCGTTGTAGATGGTATCGCTATCGTCATTTCTAATTTTTTCGATTACTTTTTCTTGATCTTCCAATTTCGAAGAGATATCTTCCAATTTTTTGAGAAATATTTCATGAAACGTATCATCATTTTTTAATAGATTTAATTCATTTCCATTATTTTCGCCAATTTTGCTAAAGTTTCATGTAAGTTTCAAATCTATGTAAACATTCTTTTTTAATCAAATTTTCCACAATTTTCGTATTAATTTTTCCAGTTTGTTGCAAAATTAACTCACAAGATTCCGTTCCCCCATATTCCATTTTCTCATTTTAATTCCCCTTGTTTTCAGGGCGTAAAACGGTTCAGAGGGTTGTTGCTCAATTCGGAGTGCCGATGCTGAGGTTCTACTCCCCGCAGCAGTGAATCTATCCAAAAATCCAGGTGATGCTAACGATTCACCTGTTTTTTTATCGCAAAGGGACTCCCTGGTATATTTGTAAACCAGCGGAGTGAGTCTAATCAGTTATGGCAATGGCTCTTAAAAAAAAAAAAATTTCCCTTATTTAATATCTCTAATGTTGACATTTATATTCAATAAAACTACAAGTATTCAATAAAACTAATAAACTATCTCGTTTTTTTTTTTTAAAAATCCTCACCATTACTGGTTAAACTCGCACCACTGCCTTGTCACAGTGGGAGTACTTGGCTATAGAAATACAGGTGAGTCACCAGCATCACCCGAATTTTTGCAGAAGGTTTACTCCTGCGGAGAATCGAACCTCAGCATCGGCGCTCCCAGTTGAACAATAACCCACTGAGCCATTAAAACTATCTCATTACCATCTGCCGAATTTCTTTTACTTTTAACATTTTTATTTAGCTTATATTAACTCGAAGAAAATTCTTCAAAAAGTGCAAATAGAGCAAAATCTGCGGTAGCAAAATCAGAAAATACCTTCCAATTATAGATATACTTTAAAATGATTTTCAAAAATTTTTCTTCTAATTTTTACGCCCAAAGTATTTACTACCTCATTGAAACTAAAAATAAGTTATAAAAGCAATTTAACTAAATATATTTTAAACTAAAAATAAGTTAACCACCCTTTTATATTTTTCTTCCTTATATTTACATTTGGTTTTAAAAAATTCTTTTACTTACTACCTTCATCAATGTTATTTTTCTTGCCAACTAAATAGCACCACTTTTTTCTTAATTAATTCTCCAAATCGACATCCCTCCAAAATGCTCAATAATTCCATAAAGAAAAGCGAAAAGCGTAGGCTAGGAATATTTCAATGTTATTTTTATTAAAATGCGATAAAAAATTCAATTTTCAATTCAACAATTGATCCTTATTTTTTCAATTTTAAATGAGAAAATAAATTTTTTTGAAATGAATTTTAAATGAATTTTTGGATAAGTTCGAAATAATTTTATATAAAATATATATTTAATGATTTAACGAATATAATTACTGAGACATAAGAAACGGTATATAAAATTTTAGAAATTATTAATAAATTATTAAAATATATTAATTAAAATATAAACAAAAAAAATGAATAAAAATTACATATTAATTCCATCGGTTGATTTAGATAGTGGTGATTTTATTTCATATGAAGAATTTAAGAAAGAATCAGTATAAGATAAATCCAGATCAACTTCGAGAAATAATAACGATCTTTGACTTAAAGCAATTAGAGAAGCAATCGTTGTGGAGTGAATTTCATCATCATCGTCCAAAGTAAAACCTGAACGGCAGGTTTCAAATAAATGAAAGAAAATAAAGGCAATAAACAAATGCACATATATAAATGTCGATATTTCAAAAAGAAATCCATAAATAATTGAAAAACCGATAAATTTAAAAACTTAAATTCAAAGCAGCATAATGTTTCTAATATGAAACAGTGAACATATAACTTACTTTGCTGAAGCGATTTGTTTATTGAGATTGGTAATACACAAACAAGAGGACGACAAAATGTAATTAATGTGCAGGATGAGAAATAAGGCTTGTTTCTTCTATATCCTAAACCAATGCAGTAGATATTCTGAAAAAATAAATGAAGAAAACCTTATAAATATCGTTCTTAAAACAATCACCTCATAGGTTGGAGAAAATCTTTTTAAAATGCAAATTAAAAGATAAACAATATACAAAATACGAACTGCAGCGTCATAATCTACGACAAAGAGCACTTTTG